TATACTCTTCGCTTGTAAGCCTTTTAAAGCTATAGTAGAACGCATGCGACCCAAGCCCCCATTCTAATTTCTTGGCCTATCAGACACCGCTGCAAAAAGATAAGTCTCTAATGCATTGGCCGTTGTTATTAGCACTTGATTCTTCGTCATTTTAGGTGCTTGAGCCCCTACATCACCCTATATTCGCCCTTAAGTAGATAGAATATAGCTTTGAGTATATTATAACAAGATCCCCATATACCCCACATTCTATCTACTTAACAAAAAACAATAAATCCTACATCCCAAACCCTTCAACCCTAAGTTTAGGCTCGAGTAGGGACATCATCCTAATGTTTAAGGCCCCATAGAGCAGGCGCTCTAGTGAAACATGTGTTCTTGGCCTAAGTTTCTGTGTCATGCTTTGGTATTTTATGGTGTCTATCGTGTAACTTATCAGCCCCTGTCCGGGGTCTATACGGAACCTGCGCTACCCCTGTAAGAGCCTTAAGACGGACCCCCCAGCATATGTATGCTTGGGGTCGGCAAGCTCCGTGCTTATGAGAAACCTTCGCAGACTACGCGACGCTTTCTTTGTCACACATGAGGGGTACTAATGGTGAGTATCTGTCCGTGTCTCCTTGTTTGAACCGATTCTATTCTATAGGGAGAATGCATACGTAAAAGGGTTGGATGTCCGCAATGCGGGGTATTTTGGGAGGATGGGATCCAAAGCATATTGTATTCACAAAGAGTAGGACATCCAGGGTCCAGGCACACGTAACGTACAGGGGGCCAAATTTGAGCATTGCCCGATCAGCTGGGCATGCCCTAAACCCTCTACCCTAAGCGCTGAGCTCTTTACAGCAACCTCACCCAACTTCAACCTAAGTCGTGTCTCATGAAGAAATATTCCAAACACAGACATTTTTGCAGGCCTTTGAAGTATGTTAACCTGACCAGACACAGGTTCTCCAGGAGCAGATCAATTCATCGCTTGCGCCTGGCTTGCACTTGCCAATCAGGGTTTACGAGTTTTGAGGTTTAGGCACGTCTTCAATGAGTCCCCCAAAACCTTTAACCCCTCGACCCTAAACCCTAACCCCCTCAACCTTAAACCCTCTTATGTAAGGGGGACCCTTATAACTTATAATCTCCTCAGAATCCTGACATGTCCGGAGAGGGTTCAGAGTCTTGGGTTTAGGGTTCAGTATCTTTGTGATATCTTTGTTGAGGTTTAGGCTCAAAGCTAGCAGCTTGCATAACCCATAGGAGGGCATTTGGGTCACTCCCCCTGCCAGTAGCTGTCCTTAAAGGGGCCTTATTAAGGGGGTTCTTATAACTCCTATAACCCATTGTGGTAACAGTTACTGTAAGGGGGAATGACCTAAGGCATTTGGGTCTAGGTTTCAGGCTTCATTGGGGCTCAAAAGTTTAGGTCAATCAATGGGTATGGGGCTACTCAGGTGGGGTGTGTACAGGGATAGTGTACGTGGCATGCACTAGGGAAGGGAGGCTGATTGATGGGCTTGAACTTACCGGACTCCTTTACTTTGAGAAGCAATTTGTGCATGAGATAGAGCAGGAGCTGTATGCCTGCGGTTTTGATTAAATGCTGCGTCCAGATCATGCCCTCATCGCAGTGAGGCCCCTGCCGCCTAAAATGTGTGTTTGCCCCCACATAGACAAGACCAATGCAATCGACGACGATACCGGAGCGAAGTGCGGGGCATTGGGACCCGTCGTGGAGATAGAGATTGACACCTATCCTACTCTTCGCACTGTAAGGCTGTATTTCGACCGCAAATATGAGCCCCTACTGGGATTATGCCCGGCAACTTTAGCGTTATATCACATCCCTTGAATCCTTAACCCTGAACCCTAAATCAACTGGGCTACCAGCATAATATTTACCCTGAGCTTCCAAGTCTCCCTCAACCCTAAATCCTAAACCCCAAACCCTAAACCCCAAACCCTTAACCCTAAACCCCAAAACCTAAAACGTAAACCCTAAACCCTAAACCCTCGTGCAATTCTAAGGCCCTCTACCGGGAAGTTCGCCCCGCAGCTGTCGTCTCATTCTTCGTACTTTCTGCAAGCCTCTTGAACTTCTATATGGGGGGGGTTAAGGGGTTTAGGAGTTTAGAGGTTTAGGCTTGAGGGTTTTGGGATTTGGCGTTCACGGTTTCTAGTATTTTGGGGTCTATATTATTAGTGTCTCCCTAGTTAAGCTTCTATGTCTTGGTCCCTTCGCACGCACGGAACAGACTTGTATAACCTGGTTCCCATACAATCCTCATATAACCATGCAATCTACATCCAACATTTCATTCTAATTGTCTAGGCACCATGTCTGGAGTCCCGTGGGTTCTTTGTGCAACTGCCCGTGTTGGCGCAGTTTGTGTGTTTGAGATATCTTGGGCATCATATTTGTGTGTCCTGGCCGAAGGGCGAGCAGCGTCTAGGGTGTCGCGATCACATTTTCATGCATCCCCATTATCAAGCCCTTTGCAAGCCCACCTGCAGGTTTTGCAGAATCTCACCTGCAAAGAGCCGTTGTGGGCATTGATCAGAAGGCTCAAGAGCACCACTCAAACCACAACCAGAAAGACCAAATCATCAGATGGCGTTACTGAGAAATTCTTGCAGAATCTCTGACCCTAAGGGTCCAAGTACCCAGTATTTAGGTACTTGGGATTTTGGTAATAGTAATTTTAGTACAAGTTTTGGGTAAGTATATGATTATTGGGTACTTGGACCCTTAGGGGTGAAAGGCATAATCCTGAAGCATCTGTGAAGGACCCTAAACCCTAAACCCTAATCCTCCTGAAGCCCTGAGCCGAGGCTGACTGCACATACCTTGAGCCCCAAAGTCACCAAAGTCAGTAGATAGGGTGGATACTAAAAATCCTGCATGACCCTTCGTACCTTATACATCGTACCTTATACATCGGGAAGAATGGTACTATAGCATACTAAGGTCATGCAGGAGTATCAGCCATATCACCTACGTCGGCCTATTTGCAGCCCCTAAAGCCTTACCCGCACGCCACAACGTTTCGGATCTCGAGCCCCCGCAACATTGGAAGCTATGCTTGAACCTCAGGCACTACTCGTTCAGACGCAACACTTCGGAACTGTAGGTGATGCAGACGCCTGAACAATCAGTTGCCATTCCCCTAGAACGCTTGTCTTGTCTTATTGTGGCAGAATGCAACCCCTATCATCAAGTATATCAAGTGCATTCATTGTCTCGTCCGTTTCATTCTTCTTCGTTGTTCGAAATCTTTAGGGGCCTATATTGCCCCGCCACACTAATTTACTGGGTTGCTGTTAAGGAATTTAAACTAAGATACCATAATGGGTATACCTAGTGATTAATACGGTTTCTCCAAAATAATAACGTACAGTAAGTTCCTTAAATCACCATATTCCCCCAGTTTCCATTTCATTGTCCATGTTCTTTTCCATTTGATTCTCCATTATACGGGGCCAATATAGCCTTGGCCTTGACCCTACATCCTAAACCCTATCAGTTTAGAGGTTGGACCCTGAGAGACCCAGGCCTCTCCGCGCGAATCGCCCGGATCCCGCTCTTTGTGGACATGAGCCGCTTGTCGCACAACGCTGACATTTAGGAAGATCCGGGTTCAGGGAGTTGCGTTTAGGGCTTAGCGTGACTCTAAACTCCAAACCCCAAATCTTAAACCCTTAACCCTAAAGCGGGGTGTACATTTCAGGATGTGTAGCACTCAGGGATACTCAGGGGAAGGTCTGCATTGAACCCATATAGCTATATGGGTGCTGAGGCATGACGCGGGGCCTCATCACGGATGCCAAGTCTATAGCCGCATCTATACCGGCTCCTCTGCTGGGCTTAGGGTGTAGGGGTTTACGGTGGAAAGTTTAGCCTTTGGGGTTCAGGCTCCTGTGCCTGGAGCGGCTATCGGGTGTACGGTTTATGTTCAACTGTTCAACTGGGCTCATCAACAGGTTCCTTTCAATTGGCAAGGGTTAGGGTTTACGGTTTACAGTAGCTACACATGCTTACCAGCAACCATTTTGATACTAGGGGTGTGGGTGAGCGGACGGGTGGGAGGGTGGGTGTGTTTGTCATGATCATGTGATCCCTTGAGACGCAGATTGTGATTAGCAAGTGGCAAGCACCCCTGAAGAACAACAGCTCAACTGCTTCAATACACTGCAGCTCCTCGTGTTCTTCCTGCACTTGCAAAAGTTGTCTCTGCATACTATCCCATGCAGCAAGTCCTGAACCCTCAGCCCAGAGGCTCCTATGCAATACCTCGTTATGATTATTGTTTCCTGGTATTCTATCGTATCACCCAAAAAGAGCTATGTTGAAGCCTTTGATGGTACTGCATCATCAACTCGAAACTTCTGCTGCGGGGATTCTTGAAATAGAGTTGCCGCCAGCAAATGCTATGTTTGTTATTGTTTCACACTCCCTCACGACCTCAGCCATCTTGTTTCGTTTCTGTAAATCGCCACGGAATTGCAACAGAACCGTGGGGGGAGAGCGGGCGTGTTGGGCAACTTCATTTGTATGGCCATCTGGCCTTTAATGTTTTAACTAGGGTGTCTTCATGTACTGCAATTTTAGGCCCTTGGTAGCCGACTTACAGGCACAACCCGGAACTCATAGACCGTGGCTACTGACGATAAGAATGAGTATGCTAGGGTAGGAGGACCCCCGACCCTGTAATAGTGGTATAATAGGAATATAAGAGGACCCTAATATAGTTACTACTATCCCTTATAGTTTCTATTACAGGGTGGGGCGTCCACCTAGATGATAGGGTAGGCCGAACTTTAACTCGACGATGGCCTTTCATGTTACAGGCAGGGCTTGAATAGAAATCCCACACTCCAAGCCTAAACCCTAAGCCCTAAACCGTAAACCCTAAGCCCTACATCCTAAACCCTAATCCCTACATCTAAACCCCTAAACCCTGAACCCTTAAACCCTAAACCCTAAATCCTACACCCCAAGCTTTTTTAAGGACGATAGCATTGTGACAGCTCTGGGGCTCCGGCCAGCCTTCTCCCAAGCGGGTTCCTGGCTCCCCGGCATTTAGGGTTCAGGATTTAGGGTTTAGGATTTAGGGTTTAGGATTTAGGGTTCAGGGTTTAGGATTTAGGGTTTAGGGCTTAGGATGCAGGATTTAGGGTTTAGGGTTTAGGGTCCCCGACATTTTAGCGTTGGGGTGGGGTACCGGGACATGAGGTTGACAGGGGGTCTGGCCAAAATCATGTCATGGTCTGTCAGTGCGGAGGTTTAGACCCCTTAAGTGGATAGAATATGGCTGTTGGTATTTTATAAAAAGATCCCCACATACCTCATATTCTATCTACCTAAACTTAAGGGGACTTTATGATGATATAGGGACACCACGAGGAGTATATTAGAGTATATTAGAGTATGCGGCGTTAGAGTTCACAAGTACTGTCAATATCGGGGTCTAGTACATTGGCCTGAGTTTCGAGGCGGTCTCAGCCAGTGGCAAGCAAGTTGCTGACTGGAGTTTAGGGTTTAGGTTTTAGGGTTTAGATTTTAGGGTTTAGGGATTTCTTCTGCAGTGGTTGCAAATCTGGTGTATCCTGAACATGAAGCTCTGCGCTCGACAAGCCCGAACTTGAAAAGCAGGCCAGCTCTCTTTGTCTATGCCAGTATGTCGTCATATGAGCTATGGTCTAAACTTCTGAATGGGGGTTATGTAGGGGATTATATAGGGGAGTACAGTAGGGCTTATTAAGGGGGATACTAGGAGTTTAGACTATGGCTCATATCAGGGATTGGGTTATTTTGGTTTACTTCGAGATTTCCCCGTACCACGCACTATGTACAGCCTTAAGAGGCACAGGTGGCACCATGAAGCGCACGAAGGTTGGTGGTCTAAGACCACAAGGTGGGGAATTGGAAAATCAATCAAACGACCTTCCAATGCGGTGAAAAACCCTAAACCCTAAATCCTGAACCTTTCTTGAGAGCTTCAGACCGTAATAGACGTAAACCCTTAAGGTTGAAGATCTTAAGATTCACGCAGCACAGGACCCTAAGCATTCACATCTCCCTCTGTATCCCAAACCCACTTGAGCTATAGTCTAAACTCCTTAAAGGGGGGTTATATAGGGGATTATATAGGGGACTACTATATTAGGGGATATTAAGGGGGATACTAGGAGTTTAGACTATGGCTCAGTTCAGAACCTCAAGGCTCATGCAGCACATGACCTTCGTGATGAAGCCCTTCACAGCCTTGGCCTCCGAGTGGAACATCTCAGGGCTGCACTTCACCCTGGACCTCATGGAGGCACAGCATCTGCCTCTGCAAGCTTATTGTAATGGGCTTCCCGCTACGAACGCATAAGCTCGCATCCAGCATAGACTCCCTGTTTTGCAAGAAGTCTTTCTCACAAGCTTACCCTAAGGATCCAAGTATACAAATTATATAAACAAGACCTACATTGGGCCCCAAAGTCTGTAAATATTACCTACATTGGGCTATTTGGATCCCTAGGGTTAGCTTAGGAAACAGGATTTGCTTCTGTCCCGGGGTCGCAGACGCTTCATGGCTTGTATTTAGGTGGACCCCCCACCCAGTAATAGTGACTATAAGGGATAATAGGGATTATATTAGGGTCCTCTTATATTCTTATTATAATTCTACCACTATTACAGGGTGGGGGGTCCTCCTAAGCCTGTATCATTACTCAAGCCTGACATGTTCGGAGTTCGTCTTTCAACAACATGCTCAGACAGTTGGATGCTTGCCATGGAAGCAGAGCACAAGGCCCCATCTGGACCTCCCAAATACCCAGAACATGTTCAAGCCCTTTCGGCACTTGCCTCTCAAACCCTCTGCCCCAAACCCTTCAACCCTCCAATCACAGACCCTCCAAAGTAACATGCCCTTAGGTTTCAAGTACCCAGTAACTAGGTACTTGGGATTTTGGCAATAGTATTTATAGTACAGGGTTTGAGTGAGTAAGAGACCATTAAATAGTTGGACTACTGGGGATAGAAACTCAAGACGGTCCCTACAAAGACTACTATCCTTTGGAGGAGAGCTATCTGGATGTCCGTGGAGGAAGGTTTTGTCCAACATTAAATCTGGGTCATTGTTGGCATTTGTGTCAGAGGCTGGGGCATTACATGTGAGATTCTGATGTAAGACAAATGATTTCGCACCAGGGGCCGACTAACGATCGAGAGAAAACACTGAAGTTGTGAAGCGCGCGTCGGCCTGAAAATTCAATTTAGAATATTTGGGCAGGGATACAACAGTCCTGAAAATGTAGAAAGATCGTTTGTGTACTGCCGCTCTAAAACCCATAAGAAACAGGACCCCCCACCATCTGCCGTTTAGTAATTTCCGCATATCCCTGGGATCTCTAAGGACGCCCTAGTTGGGGCAAGCATGTTTAGGTTTCAGGGTTCAGGCTTACATCTCTAAACCCAAATCATTAAACGGTATATATGTACACGGATATCCTTGCCTCCGAACCCCAAGCCCTAAGCCCTAAACTCTAAACCGTGCATATGTCGATATTTATGTGTACATAATAGATTTTACATCCCTCTAAACCGCGTAAAGGGACCTCAAGCAGCCCCCTTTCTTGCAAAACAACATTTGGGTAGTTCCCAAAATTAGAGTCCCATTTTGGTAGCCCTAAATATTAGGTGCCATAATATCAACTGTAATCAAAGGGGGCCCATAATTTTGAGTACGCCCTAAACCCTAAACCCTAAGCCCTAAACCCTAAACCTCATTGTTCTCAAGAGCCTACAGGGCGACTACACGGCCATCTCCGACATTCCCGCTTGGGCTGGCGTGGCGCCCTCTGAAATCGCAGCCCGGGTCCGCAACGTGGTTGAATGGGGCTTGCAGCTTTGTAGGAGTTAGGGCTTAGGATTTAGGATGTAGGCGTTGGCGGTACTGTGTTGGGGCCAGGGCTTAGGGATTTTAGCTGGCGTTGAGCTCAATGTTGAGGATTACGTTTGCAGGTTGGAAGGAGGGCAGGGCCAAGGGGTTCAGAGTGAACGATTTCATCCCCCCAAGTTAAAGCTAGAAGAAACGTGGGGGGTGTTATGCCTCGTTAATGCGAGTAAGGACTCGGGGGTAACTGTCAACGCCGGAGTCATCAGGGACACTTACGCATGAAAACGCTGAGAAAATTCAAATTGGACGTCCGGTAGCGCTGCACTTTTTAAACGTGTAATCTTATGCCCAAACCCTTGGTATTGTCCACGAACCCGGTTATTGTCACATTGTTTAATCCCAGAATCGAAAATTGTGCACCCTCAGTTGCCAACCCTGAAGCCCAAACCCTCAATGTTCAGCTACTCTGACTGACGAAGGCTTTATCGGTCCACTTTACGGCAAGCTAAAGAAGGAAGTGCCGCCAGAAGTCTTCGCTTTTCGCGAGCAGGCGACCAATACTAGGGTTTAAGGTTTAAAGTTTGGGTTTTAAGGTTTATAGTTTAAGGTTTAGGGTTTTGGGCTTAATCGTAGCAAGTTGGAGATGAGGGCAGGGTGTGAGGTATGTGTTGGATGCTCACTGTGCTGCTAAGTTTGCTTCATTTACGTTCCCACAGATAGCCGCAGGAAAAGCCTTTGGTTTCTAAGAGTTCAAGGCATTTGAGATGGTCTCGCGAATTCAGGCTTCTGGGATCTCATTGTTGTTGGAAACCCTGGCGCCAAAATTGAATACCAACAAAAAGCAGACTCTCCATTCGTGCATGGCGCTTGAGTACGCTCACGCATGCCTCTTCCCTTCTCCAGCATGCAACAAAAAGCACAGACCAGAAATCTTCGAAGCTCAGCCAGAAGCACTGATCTTCCGGGAATTTGTAAAGCGCAAGCTAATGAAGAGCAGGCGGAGTAGCATGACAATAGTAGTATAACTCAGAAGTTCAATAACCACCATAATGAAACAACAATACGGACAGCAGGAGTAGTTCAGCAGCGGTTCTTCTGATCTTTTCTTCTCTTGCGCTGCTATTGTGTTGGCTGCTTCTGTTCTTGCTGCTGCCGCCACCTACTGCCAAGACCACTACTATTGCTGATACAGGCAGCAGGTTGCCACAAGGTCATCCACAGGTAGGGAGCGCACCTGGGGACTACCATAGGGACCATGGGACACAGAGTACTACAGGGTGTATTCTGCTATAGCTCCCTTGGGGGTCCACGTACCTAATGATCAGATGCTTAACCAAAGCCCGTACTATAATTACAATACCCAAATCCCAAGTACCTAGAATATATTGGGTACTCGGAACCTCTGGGTTCTGAAAGGTTTCAGGCGAGGTGGGGGGCCTCTGATCTGAGGTGTCGTACTGGAATCTCTCCAACACAGGGAGCCTTAAACAATCCATAATGAACGAAAATCCGTGCGAGCATATTCCGGATCTTAGTCTGACTTGAGGAATCGAAAAACAGGGGTGTGTGTATGTACCTTAGACCCTGAACCCTAAATCCTGTGAGCAGGCTACGCAGGAAGGACAGCCTTTGGTTTGGTTTGCCATGGGCTCCTCAGGCAGGAGTTTCCCGTTTTTGTGGCCCCAGAGGTGGGGTGGGGGACTGAAGGGTGTGGGGTTCAGATTTTTTCGGACCAATTTGGGGGCCCAGGGTTTGGAGTTAAGGTATTGAGGATTACCGGCCTTGGCGTTGAGGCTCTCGTGGGCTCAAAGGGTTTGGGATTAAGGTTTTTTTCCCTCCACAGCGTTTGGGTCTGAGGTTTTAGCGGCAAAAGAAGCTTACCCAAAATGCATATAAGAGTTACACCCACCTAGATGCTCAGTTGTGAAAAAACACCATCCGGCCTTCGGTTTTTTCGTTCAGAGAGGCCGTGGCCTCCTCAATGCTTCAGTGTCGCCCTGCTGAGATCTCTGTGATCACTTAGGTCACTCCCCCTTACAGTGTTGCCACAGCAAATAGTAGGAGGTATGATAGCCAATTAATGAACCCCTTTAAGGATAGGTACTGTAAGGGGGAAGGACTCGAGTCATCACTGTGCCGCAGCGAGTTTTGGACTGCCTTGGTATCTTAAAGAGTCCATGAATTTGGTCGGCGATCCTTCTTTCCCTAGGGATCTAAGGGCACAAAAGAATACTTACATTGGGCCCTAAAGTCGGTAAATATTACCTTCATTAGACTATTTGGATGCCTAGGGTTTGCTTTTGCACCACATGCTTATCAGCGTGAAGACTCTTGTGGCTACCCTTCAGTGCGTGGAGCTGTTCAAACATAAGGTCCCTCTATATCCGCCCCAGAATGATATGATCCTGTTCTCGGCGCCTCCCTTATTCACGCATACTTTGTTCAGAAGCCTCCTCCACCTCAAAATTTCAAAGCTGTGATTGCTAACCGCTAACTCTCAACACGGATTCGCAAAGCCTTGGCTTCAGAATTGTCAGGGCAGCCACCCCTGGTCTTGGCCATTTTACAGGACGCCGTTCTTGGGTTGCTCAGGGCTTTCCACGCAAATCCAGTTCAGAAACCGATCTGTTTGGAGTCCAGGTTTAGGTGGTACCTGCCCCCAAGTCAACACGGAAGCTGATGTGGTCCCCTGCTTCAAGGAAGAGCTTCTGCGCTGAGCAGTTCAGTCTCACGGCCTAGGGCTAGAGGACAGCTAGAATCAGCCAGATTTTCAAGACTTGACTGGCTTGAGCTACCCACCCTTGCTATGAGTTTGAGCCGTTGCGCTGTGGTCCGTTCTATACTATACGCGCGGTTGCTAGACATCATTAGACTTGTGTACCTTCAGTTCATGTGGATTACATGCAGGTTGCCCTCCGGACTCTTGTGATCTAATGTCAAGGAATTGGGGCTCGCTCGTCTTTACTGTGACAATTGGTGCGGGCTTCTTCTGGAACCACCACTCTAAACCCTAAACGGAACTCGTTGGAGTTTGAGAAGGCCAAAAGTAAGAAATCATCACCGCTCTACTTGAAACTTTATTCTTGAAACATCCTGCTGACAGATCTTAAACATCAATCCCTCAGTGTCTCTCGATCACAGTGTTTCCACTTCTCCTTTGCAGGAATTGGTGCGCAAGCACCCGAGCTGGTATGTTGTGGCCCCGGTGCATACGCTCCTGAAGAAGGCCGGTATTGGATTTCAGATCGGCCAGCACTGCACAACAAGCTGGATAGATCCTACGCTGCAGAGTTCGTCTCCATTTTGTAGCATTTTCAATTGAAGGCAGGACTGCATTCACCACAGCTCACCGTTTCCTAGGCTCCATACATGATATTCGTAGGGGATGGATGCAGCTTCCAGGGATGCGCGTAAGGAGTTGTAAGTACTTCGACCTAACATCTCCAAACGATCTTCCGTTTGGAGCTCCAGGGCGCTCTGGGCCCGTGGGGTGGATATACATGTTATGGTGAGACACATCAGTCCCCATCACTGCTTGGTCTGGATGTCACAAAGTTTTTTCAAAGTGGGAAGTGCGCACGGCCGAGCTATGAGTTTTGGGGGCTGTGCTGCTGGAGATCGCTCATCATGGCCAAGATCCCGAAACCAGCCCCAAGCACTGGCATCCACAGAAGATGCCCAGACGTTACAGCTAAACGGCTAAACATTAGAACCCATGATAGACGATACGCCCCGCTGTAAGAAGAAGGGCTGGTATCCACCTCCAACTCCTGCATAGCAGAACTATCAAGCTGTCTGAAGGCTGGCGTGGATACTACGAAGGCGGAGGACGGCAGGTCTAAAGCCTCAGTGCTTTTACAATCTGGGTTGCTAGTAAGGAGTTCAAATTCAGTTACCATAGTATGTGATACTAGTATGGGTATATAGTAAATGATAGGGCTGCCTTTAACAGTTAATGAACTCAAGTTCTTTAACAGCAACCTAGGTCTAAGATTTGTTGGTTGATTTCTGGGCATCCTGGTAGCAAGAAACATTGGTCGCCCCAAAAACCCTAAACCCTAAAACACTGAACCCTAAACCCTGAACCCTAAACCCTAAACCCCTAAAATCCCAAACCCTGAACCCTAAATCGAAGATAGCCAGTTCGCGTTGCACACCACATCCAGCCGTCGAACGGGCTCTTGCAGCATTTCCCCTGAGCCCTGAAGGGTGGGACAGTTTAGGGTTTAGGGTTGGAGTTTAGGGTGTGGAGTTTAGGGTTGAGGTTTAGAGTTTAGGGTTCGGAGCTCAGGGTTGAGGTTTAGAGTTTAGGGTTTGGAGTTTAGGGTTTAGGGTTTAGTGGGTACTGGCTCCTTGTTGCTATCATAGGGCAAGGTCACAGCAGTCGTAGCACTACTTGGGAAACTTGCTTTCCACTTGCAACATTACAGAGGCGGCGACCAGCCATGACTTATAATCCCCCTTAAGTAGATAGAATATAAGGTATATGGGGATCTTATTATAATATACCCGAAGCCATATTCTATCTACCTCAGGGGACTCTAACCACGGCCCTCAAGCCGCGAACCCCAAATCACAAGCCACCAACTTCAACCCCATTAACCCCTAAATCTGAAACCGCCAACCCTTTTGCCTTTGTTTTGTCTGGCATACTGCTTATGAGGAAGTCTACACATCTTACTACCAGCAAGCATCCTAAGCTGATGTTGGTCTCTAGGATTTGCAGTGCATTACGGAGCCTTGGCGGTGCAGAACTTCATTGAATATGTGGGCCGTTCTCATGATTGACCGTCCGGTATGCACCTCACCTGATCCCTTTGCCCATACAAGACTGGTACACTGAGCCCGAACCCAACAAACAAATATATATATATATATACACACACATACATACATACATACATACATACATACATACAGACATACATACAGACATACAGAC